AGTCCAGGAACTTTGGAGCTGGGAACCATTATTTATGTGTTTACAGGACCAGGATGTCTCTGCCCATTTGAGGGGTGGGGAAAGAAATTAAGGGGGCAACAGGAAGATGGTAAGTTCTTAGCTTGTGTGTAGAGTCGGCCAGGTAATTTGTAAGAAACTGATTGTCTAGATTAATTCCAAAAACGGGAAGGCTTTATGTAGGCGGAGCTGAGGCATGGCTCATGCTGATTACATGAGCGGTAATAAAAGGAAGGATAAAATTCCAAATGTGCACAAAAAGACATCTGAGAATGTGGAGAAAGGGCCCCCAAGGCCAAGAGCAAAGCTCTATGAATGGGCGCAGGAAGCTGAAGGGTAACTTGGAAGAAGCGACAATGCAGGGTGGCCCTTAAGAATGCTCAATGTATCCTTAACCAACAAACAAAAAAAGATAAACAAAGAGAAGAGGAAAATTAAGTAGAAAGGGAAAAGAGATTTTGTGGGACTGGGAATTAATTATTAATTAATTCCAAAAGGGAGTTTCGAGACTAATTGAGCAGGCGCTGGTGCCAGTTCGCCCGTGCACGCGTTACAAGTAGCCCCTGCCAAGTGGTGCATAATTTTATGGAAGCAGATGCCCTGTGAAGCAGCAGGGAAAACAGCTTCGCATTTGCTCACGGAACTCGGAGGCTAAGTCAGGTCAGCGTGGTTTATACTTCTCAGTGCCTGTTGCCTGATGGCGAGCTATTAAAAAAAATGACCCCATCAACTCCTCTTAGCTCAAGCTGAAAGATTAGGGAAGACATCCTCCATCGAAATAAAAAGGTATCCCAAATGGAAAAGATATTTATAAAAAAAACAAAAAAAACTTTTTGTAAAGAAGAAATTGGCAAAATGGCACATAAAGGCCAAAGCTATAGAAAGAAAATAAAAATTCCATTTGATCCTGTGTATTGTTTATTAAGAACCTCCCCGACATAACAGGCCCTGAAAAGTCACCGTAAAAAGACATCTGGGCAAAGCTACACTGGAGAACAAAGAAATGCAAACCATCTTTAGGAGCTTGCAGGAAATGGAAGCATGTGAGTGAGCAAAGCAGAAATGTCCTGTGGAACGTTTTCCATTAACAAGCAACGGGTGAAAGCGAAATGTAAAAGTTTTGGGGTTGGAGAGGAAACCTCTAATCATGAGAAGGGTGTGGGTAGGAGGAGAAATAGCAACAGCTGCTCTTCGAAAAGCGCCAGAGTGAAAAAACTTTCAGAGCCAGTTGGCCGCCATTATGAGAAAGAGAGTGGGCAGGTCACAGCTACAAAGCGAGTTTATTACACCTCGTTAAAAGTCACAGAGAGAGAGAAAGGGAAGGCCCTGGGCTTGGGTTAAATGCCCTCTGGAACCACAAAAAACAAGGAGGAGGACTGGGAAGAAGGCAAAAACACGTTATGGCAACAGAAAAACCAGAATGGAGAAAGAACAGACCTTTTGAGCTTATTCCGTTGATAAGAAGCCATTATGCGATGAATGTTTGTGGAGATATTTTTGGGTTTGGGTGGTGAGAAAATTCAAGGGGTGGTGACAAACTTCAACTACATAACCATCCTTTTATTATAATTCAATAAAAGCTCTACAAAGTCTATTCCCAGAGATGTCTAAGAAAATAACAGGTGGTTTTCTTCCCTGGGTGCGTACGTGGCCACCTGCTCAAATATGATCACTCAAGGCCCCTTTCAGTTCTGGGGCTCTAGGTCCCTTCACGCTCCTACACTGTTTTAGGTGATATGCCTGATAGAATGCCATTGTTTTCTGGCGAACTGCTGATTGTTCTGCAAAATCTTGACCGCTCTGCTCCTCTGTTGTCCTGCCGCAGCTCACCAGAGTCCCTGTGGAGTCATGTGGTCAGTATCGGAATTGCAGCGACTGCCTTGGCTCCGGCGATCCCCACTGTGGCTGGTGTGTGCTCCACAACACGTGAGTACAGCCAGCAGGTCCCTCCTGCCTCCCACGTCCCCTGGTAATTCTCTTCCTCCCCTCTATCACCACTCTCCTCCCCTCTGATCTCTCTTCTCTCCCTGTCTTTTCTTATTCTCCCTTCCTTATATCATTTGCAAATTTCCTCTCCCTTCTTCCATTTTGATTTCACCATAAGTTGCCCAGTTCCCATGAGATGTATAGGAATGGCAGTAGGGGAACAATGATGGGTCAGGATGTGAAATCATGCTGGGTAATTACATCCTGGAGGGCGAGAGGGAGGTGCTGGACATTTCTGACTATGACGTCACTGTACACTGACATTCCAGGACTGAACAGCAGAAAACAAGGAATTGGACTTTTTTTCTTGAGGCCCGCGTGGGCCACTCAGTCACGTGCGGGATATGCACTGTCCATTCAGTGATTCAATACCCACTTAACAGGCTCTTTGATACCCCCCCCCCGAGAATCCTGGGACACCTCATGTACAGTTTCCGTGCTCTAGGGGGACACTTCTAGAATGTGGACCCCGAGACAACTCTCCCTGCCCTCACAAAACACTTCTGTCTCTGACAAAACCCTCGGGGCGTGGGCTCTGCGCACCTGAGGCGCTGTGTCACACGCGGGGTGCTCTCTCTATATGTGTGTTGCCGGAGGTGTATTTTTGTGTTGGGGCCACATTTTATTCTCAAAAAGGGGAGAGAGGGAAGGTATATACAGTGGAGGCACGTGATAGCCTGGGTGTGGGATGTAGGGCCCAGACAACCAGCCCCGATGTGCGGAGAGAGTGGAAGGCCTTTCTTATGGGATCCAAAGACCCTTGACATCACTGACTGGAGCAGACAACAATCACTGGGCCCCACTCTGATGGAGTCTGGTCCCGGTCAAGCTATTGCTGCTGGAACCCCAGGCTTCTAGGCAACACTTGAAACTTGACACTCTGTAGGTTGGACACAAGTGTTACAAATTAAGGAGGAGGACTTTAGCCTTCCTACTGAGAGCCTGAACTGAATGTGACTGGCACTTATCAGTCATTTTCAACTGTAAGAAGATAGGGGCGGGATCGTGCCCTCCCACCCCGACCCAGGAGTGCTTCTCAAAATTAGAAACACCCTCTTAAATTCTAATACATCTTCTCCAAGGGCACAGGCACCCTCCCATTTTTGAGTGACAGTCTTAGGTATAATGAGTCCTTGAGTTCTTTAAGGGAAGGTCTAAAATCCCTCAGGTATGCTACAGTGGGGGAAAATCAAGAACCATTGATAGGTACCGAAATACACGTACAGAGGTGATGAGGAGCTGGGTGCAGCAGTGTACACACAAAGCTGTGTATTGCAACAGAGTGCAATGGAGCCTAAGCGTGGGCCAACGTAACGGAGGATGGAAAAGATTGCATTCAGAATTCAGATCAGCTCTGATCAACCCAGGAGAGTTGCCTAGATGATGCTTTGCAAGGCAGCAGGGAAGCCATTTTCTTTGTCCCACATAGTGAGGCCTCTCAGACAGGGACCATGTTCCAGATCCACTGCTTCCTTGGGTGACCAGGCCAGCCGACTCTCTGCTGGACTGAGGATGGCTCAGCTGCTCCTGCTGCGGTCTCTTCCACCTGGCATCATTCAAGGGCACTCAGAAAAGCTGGCTCCTCTCCGGCACTCTATGCGTGTGGGACCCAAAAGCAGGTCTCTCTGTTAGCTTTGATCTGGCCCAGTGATGCTGCCCAGCCCGGTGTAGCACTGAGCTCCTGGGAGAAGTAGGGGACCTCAGGCTCTGAGAAGGCAGCAGAGGGGCTGCCCATCTCCCAACCTCCCATCCCCAGAGCTGAATTTAATCGGAATAGAGGAAGAGGTACCAGAAACGTCTTCCTGCATGGCCTCAGTTTCCTCTTTCATAACAAATACCTGCCTCCTGTTATACAGCAGAATACAGGGGTGGACTCAAGTCAAGGTCAAGTTTGGACAGTTCATGAAGGAGGCCATCAGCCTGCACTGGGCATCCAGCATCTGTCCTTTCAGCGTGGCCTCAGAAAAACAGCCATGGACATGAACTTTGGGCATCCACCACCAAGTCCGAAGTTCAAATCCCCCTAGCTGTTCAGCAACCTGGGGCAGCATCCCAGCTCCTCCTCTGTGAACTGGAGATGGTGATACCCGCCCTGCCCACCTCCCTGAGTCACTGAAGAATCAAATGAGGTCATGTGGGTGAAAGGGCACTGTGAGCTGTGGAACGTGTGAAATGTGAAGTGGCGGTGGAGCAGGACACTTGACACAGTTGGGGAAGGACTGAGAGCTCATGGGGGCCCTGCTGCTTATGGCTTTGGCTGACCCCCATTGATCATCCAGATGGCTCTACTTTAATTGCATCCTTCCCTTCCCAGGGGTATCCCAGCCTCAAAGTGCCTTCCTCTGAGTGGTGGATGCCCCTGCTGCCTGCCTCTCACCTCAGTTAACCTGGTGTCATGTCTTATTCTGCAGTTTGCATGTCTTATTCATACGTGTCATGTCGGTACAGCCCTTATTAAGTGCAGGCTCACAGAAAGCAGGGGCTGGGCATTTGCTTTCTCTGTGCATGTTACTCAGCACTGAGCTGCTGCTGGTGGTGCCACTGGTGCCCCTCCCCCACCCAAATTGCCACCATGGGAGCAGGCAGGTGGAAGCCGTGAGGGACTTTGGAGGGACGACTAGAACGGAAATCAATGGAATGTAGTTCTCACTTTTTGAAAACATGCTATGAGGCTTCGGATGAGAAGAGTCCCTTCTCATGACTCATGTCAGTTCTGTTCCATAAAGTCGCCACAAACACCAAGTTAGTGAATTTGGAACCATTGCTCCCCCAAAAAAAAAAAATGCAGAGCTAGGTTCCTATGAGCCTCTGGTCACAGCGCTTTCATCAACCAATCAATACATTTCTGTGTGTTTCTGTTTAAAGACACCTGATTTTATGTATATACCGGAGGTGCCAAAAAAAAATTATACACATTTTAAGAAAGGAAAACACTATATTAAATTGTAATACTCAATATATACCAATAACAAAAGATGAATACAAGTCACGTTTGACTTCTGCAATTACAAGAGGTGCTCAAAGTGGTTACCATCAGCATCCAGACACTTCTGATTATGGCGAACTACTGCTTGAGCAACGCTGACCAAAGTGTCCACTTGTATACATTTTTGGGCACCCTCTGAGTGTGTGTGTGTGTGTTCACTAACATTGAACTCACAGCCAACACTATAATTTGTGCCTTATTTCACCTGGGAACACTGGGCAGCACGTGAGAATGACACTTGGGGGCCACTTTAAGCAGTAAAATCACCATGAAAAAGCACAAAAATGTGAAAATCTGGACACTAGATAGACCATAAAGAGGACACTTGTTTATAGAGGGAGTGGGGCGGAGCATGGTGTGGCCTTGCTGGACTTCTGCTGGGAACATATCTGAGTGGACATGGGAAATTTTTCTCCACCCTCCTCATGTCTGGGAGTGACCGCCAAACAGCTGCAAGTATCAGTTTGGGGATTCTAAATAAACTTCAGCAAGTAGACGAATTCACAAGTAAGAATCCACCGTAACGAGGATTGGCTGTCTCTCTGTGCAACAGAAACCTGACATCCCCCTTTAGAAAAAGGAAGCACGACACTGTCTCCCGGTGGTGGTGTGAGGATAGAATTAGGTGATAGAGAATGTTCTAAAAGTTCAAGGTAGTCCTTGAGCAGTCAAGGCGTTGTTCTCTGTAACCTTACGCCTCCTGGTTATGTGAAGACCCTGGAGCTGGGGGTCTGCTGATCTATCTGGTAAAGCCCAGCTCCCCTGGGAGGATGCAGTTCGTGGACACCCCTAGGCCAAGGCTTCACCTGCCCTCCATGACACTCAGCAAGTCCTTCCTCTCCCCCTAATGACCAAGGATGCCCCTGACCCACATGGCCAGGTGAAGAAGAATAAGTGCCTGGATCTTCTAAGAAGCTTGTAATCAGGACATAATGTTTTGATTTATATAGAGTGAGATGCACAGATCCTAAGTGTACTGTGTGAAAAGTTTTGACAGATGCAAACACCCAGGTCATTCACACGCCACCAAGATATACATTTCCTTCCTCCAGAGCATGCTTTCAGGTTTCTTCCTATTCTTCCCAGTAGGTCTTTCTTCCCTCGTTGTTTAAGTACAGGTCAAAGCCAGGCATCGCCTCCCCTGACACGCCTTCTCTTTCATTTTAAGTAGATGCCGTCTGGACATTCATGGCTGGGAGAGATACAGGAGTACATGGGCTGAGCAGGAGGGAAGGGAGAAGTCTGAGGCAGGCAGAGGAGGTACAGAAGACCCCGGAGGACCAGAGGAAGCCTGCACGTGCTTAGCCTGGGCTCCTCAGTTTGCTGGGCAGGGAGCGCACAGAAAAGTGCAAGGGGTTTCTTCACATCGTGGGATTGCTGTGCCCACACACCCAGACTTGTCCACAGATCTTCCACATGGGCCCTGCCCCTCTATGCCAGGCACTGTGCTGGGCTCATGAGGTACCAGGGGACTATGTTAGACTGGCTCTACCCTGGAGCTTCCTGGGGACTAGTCCTCTGGTCCAGGAATGGGGCAGGGGTTGCATTCTAGACTACGATCCGTGCATTTGGTAGGTCCACATCATGGGTAAGACCCTGTGTTGACTGCTATCGGGCCCAGCGAGCCTGACACTCTGGAAAACCAGGGCAAAGAGCATCAGGAAGAGGGTTCCTTCAGGTGTTAACATATGTCTGTTTTATCTGTCACTTTTGCCAAGTTTTCCCATGGTGGTAGGAAGTAGGAGGGTGGAAAATTTGTGGGAAGGGAAGGACAGAAGGAGTGCATGTGCGTGTGTGTGTGCGCACTCTCGCATGCATGCACGAGAGAGAGAGAGAGAGAGACAGAGAGACAGAGAGACAGAGAGAGACAGAGAGACAGAGAGAGAGAGAGGAAGTGGGGGGAATAGGAGGAGAGAGAGCAAGACCATGCACAGTTCAAGAGCAGGGCCCCCAC